AATTGGTACCCAAAAAGGTAAAGTTCAAGATTACAATCTGGCCAGCATGGCTCAGTGGTTGAGCATTGACCTACGAATCAGGAGGTCACGGCTCGATTCCCAGTCAGGGCACGCGCCCTGGTTGCTGGCTCGATCCCCAGTGTGGGGCGTGCAGGAGGCAGCCGATCAATGATTCTATCTCATCATTGATGTTTCTCTCTCTCTCTCCCCCTCTCCCTTCCTCTGTGTGAAATCAATTATATATATATATATATATAAATGATTACAATGAGCTAGTTATTTCTGTTCTCTGAGCCTCTGCCTGGAGCCCAACTTTCCCTATATCTTGGCTTGGTTGATTCCTCCTCATCACTCAACCTTAAACTCCAAGGAACCCCACTCAGAGAAACCTTCCCAGACTCCCAGGCAAAAGGTTTTCCCCTCTATTCAGCACAACCAAGCATCTCATTCTCTTCCCAGCATGTTTCCCACACTGAATCAGTCGTCGATTTACGCATTTACTTGTTTACAGATTCTTTGCTCCCTAAAACACCAGCTCCCCAGTGCCCAGAACAGGACGTGGCACACAGTAGTTGCTCATTGTTGGTTGCGTGGGGAATGCATGTCGACCTTAGGTGCCTGAGGGAGGATTGTTTAAATAATACTAATGACTGGGAAATGTATTTATCTCTCCTTCCAATGATCAGGCTGTATTCCTGGGAAGTGAGAGGCAGGTGGGACAGCCGCGGTCGCTTTCATAGAACCCTTTGAGCTGACAAACCACCCCCTGATTCCTACGACTGCCACACTTAGCGGATGGGGAAACTGAGGCTGAGAGAGGCAGTGTATTTGCCTGGTTCACAAGGAGTGTGGATGGCACGGCTGGGGCTAGACCTATTATTCTGGCCTATAAATGACTTTTTTCCTATCTCACCCCTTGGCTGTGCTTACATAGTACTTTATGTTTATAACAATCGGCCCATGAGAGCCTTAAAGGAGAGGGGAGGTACTGATTCATTCCAGCACTGCCAGTGCCTAGCGTGGCGCCTGGTGCTTAGCAAGCGCTCGATAAATACTCGTCAAACAAATTAATGGCCGAGTCCCAGTAAAATCCTTAAGTGCCTTCTGTTTTATTTCCCTCTGATTTTTTTAAAGCATGGTTCATTCAGGAAAAATATAAAGAATGTAAAAAAAACCCCCAAAACTCAGCTCAGGAGAACACCCAATACCACAGCACACGGAATAAAAATGGGGTGGATTTGATGGGGAAAGAGATAAAGGCCCACAGTGGTCACGAGAAAGGCTGCATGTCACAGTTTATACCCGTTATAGGTCATGCAATGCCTGTTAAATATGTTTGAGTCCTCCTTTCCCCATTTATTTTCAAAATTGTCCCGGTTTGAACGATACATTATAGTGTCTCTGCCTGTGCGATACCTGTCACCATCTTTGGACTCACCAGCTCCCTCTTGCTCTCACTCACTCCCTTCCAGCCACATGGGCTGTCTTGGGGCTCCTTACAAATGCCAAGCTCACTCCTGCCTCAGGGCCTTTGCACTGGCGGTTCTGTTGGCCTCAGTCTCTCTACTCTTATGTACATGCATGGCTCCTCCTCATCTCCTTCAGGTCTTGTTAGAACTGCAACCTCGCACCTTGACGATCCACAGCCCCTCTACTGTTTTATTTTTCTCCTGAACTTTAATCATTTTCTGACACAGGAGTTGGCAAACTACAGCCACCTGTTTTGTAAATTAAGGTTTTTGTTGTCACACACCCAAGCCCATTCATGATGTATTTTCTCTGTGGCTGATATCATGCTTAAACAGAAGGTTGAGTAGTTGCAACAGAGATTGCATGGCCCACAGAGCCTGAACTATTTAAGGTATTATCTGCCCTTTATAAATACAAACAAATATATAAAAATATGTATCTCTTAATTATCTTATTGACTGCCTGCTTCCCCCACTAAAATGTCAACTTCCCTCAAATAGGGATTCTGCTTCCTCTGTTCTCTGCATATACTGGGTGCCTGGAGGAGTGCGTGCACACAGGATGCACTCAACAAAGGCTTGTTGAATGAAAATGTCATCTACAGTCCCCCCAAATCTGATGCTTTGCTATTGGCCAAAATGAACATCTACGAATGAAAAAGGGCTGAGGGCAAGATCAGCTTCAACCATTAGCAATCATTTGTCAAGGGGCATCCTATATAGTAAAAGGCTAATATGCAAATTGACTGAAGGGCACAATGACTGGTTGCTATGATGTGTACTGATCATCAGGGGGCAGACACTCAACGCAGGAGCTGCCCCCTGGAGGTCAGTGCGCTCCCACAGGGGGAGCACTGCTCAGCCAGAAGCCTGGTTCACGCGGGGAGCGGGCCTAAGCTGTCAGTTGGACATCCCCTGAGGGCTCAAGGACTGTGAGAGGGTGCAGGCCAGGCTGAGGGACCACCCCCCAAGTGCATGAATTTCATGCACCGGGCCTCTAGTGTGTTTATAATCACCAACTACAACACCGTATTGTTGCCTTCTTAATTAACATTAATGGAGAAATAAATAGTGAGAGAAACACAGGAAATCACAGAGAGGCGAGAAAGAGGAGGAGAAGGTGAAGGAGGAGGAGGAGAGAGAGACAGGGACAGAGAGATGGACACACACACTACGTTCTCGGTGTCTCTTCTATTTTTTTAAAAATATTTTTATTGACTTCAGAGAGGAAGGGAGATGGAGAAAGAGATAGAAACATCAATGATGAGAGAGAATCACTGATAGGCTGCTTCCTGCACATCCCCAATTGAGGATTGAGCCCACAACCTGGGCATGAGGCTTTGACCGGAATCAAACCCTGGACCCTTCAGTCCGCAGGCCGATGCTCTATCCACTGAGCCAAACCGGCTAGGGCTCGGCGTCTCTTCTTATAAAGGCACTAATCCCACTGCGAGGACCCACCTATCACCTAAACTGTCACCTCCTCTGAGGGTTTCTAGGCCCAGGGACTGAAGAAGTCACCTATGAGAGTCCCTTAGTCTCAACTGTTGTTGTTGTTGGGGGGCGGGGGACCCTGGGGACTCCTGAGGATAGAATTCAAGGAGCCTGTGAATGTGAAGAGAACAAAGTTAATCCTTCACTTTCCAAATTTCCACAGGAGATGGGCATTTTCTTCCATTATGAAGGGAGGCAGCTGTCTGGACAGAACCGCGACGCTTGTCACCACCAGAAATCGCATACAGTTTACAGATATTGCACAACTTCTTTTGAGCTTAATTCTCTCATGAAACGATGGGATTTCTCTGAACCATCACCAGGTCCACTGGAAATGGGTTATAAAGTCTAAAACTGCATCACGGACCTGTATTTATTTATTTATATTTTTACTGATCTCAGAGAGAAAGGGAGAGGGGGAGAGAGTTAGAAATATCAATGATGAGAGAGAATCACTGCTTGGCTGCCTCCGGCACACCCCCTACTGGGAATCAATTTTGCAACCCGGGCATTGCCCTTGACTGGAATTGAACCCAGGACCCGTCAGTCCCCAGGCCGACACTCTATCCACTGAGCCAAATGCACAGATCTGTTTTAAAAAATATTTTGGTAACAATTTCAATGCATTCGGCTTCCTTTGCCATCTCATCTCTTTTAATTTATGCCTTTAAAATCATCAGATGACGAAGTGGTCTGTGGCTCAACAAGGTAAGGATCTCGAAGGCAGAACAATCAGGCACCACACTGTGCCTTTTAGAATGACCATCGTCAAAAACACGAGACAAGTGATGGTGAGGATGTGGAACAAAGGAACCCTCGTGCACTGTTGGTGGGGCTGTAAGTTGGTTCAGCAACTATGGAAAACAGTAGTTCCTCAGAAATTAAAAATAGAACTACCATATGATCCAGTAATTACAGTTCTGGATATTTATTCAAAGGAAATGAAAACACTAAATTGCACACACACACACACACACACACACACACACCGTGGAATACTATTCAGCCATAAGAAAAGGAAATCCTGCAAGTTGTGACAATGTGGATGAAGCTTGCGGGCATTACACTGAGTGAAATAAACCGGAGAAAGACTAATCCTGTGTGATCTCATCTACACTGGAGTCAAAAGAAACCAAACTCTTAGAAAAAGAGATCAGATTTGTGGTTACCAAGAGGCAGGAGAGAGGGAGCTGGGTGAAGCTGCTCCAAGATACAAACCTCCAGACAAGATGAATAGGTACCGGGGATGTAATGTACAACTCTAGATGCGGTGACTCTAGTCATCACTCCTGTCTGGGACACCAGGAAGTTGCTAAGAGAGCGGATCCTAACGGTACTCATCGCAGGAAAAATAACCATTTTCTGGGTAACTATATGAGGTGATGGGTGTTAACCAAACTTACTGTGGTCATCAGTTTACAAAAGATGTAAGTCCAGTCATTATGCTGCACACCTCACACTCTAGTGTCGGATGTCAATGAGACCTCAGTAAAACTGAAAACCAAACCCAAAACCTGAGGTGGGCTCTCCTGCTCCCAATCTTCTCTCTTTTCTGTCCCAGACTTTAGTGAGAGTTTAAAGAAATGACTTATTTACAAGTTAAACCAACAGATTTGCTCAAAGCAAGTTGCCATAAACCTTCAAATAGTAAAAAATAAAAAAAAAAGAAAAGAAAGAAAGAAAAGAAAGGAAAGAAAAAGAAATATATCTGCGAAGCACAATGGGCAAAGTGCAATAAAGCCAGGTGAAGTGCCTGTATTAAAAGATCTAAAATTATATTGCAACACATGCACAGTGAAAAAGTATTCAACATCCGTGTGCCCTCTGGATTCCCATGTCCCGAGGGGCCTTCCCTACTTAAGAGTTCTGAGGATGACCAATCCCCGCTCCCCGCCCCCGCCCATCCTCAAAGGCCTGCTCTTCTGCAAACATGTTGAGTTGTCCCTGGGCTGCCTCCCTGGCTCAGGGTCCCCCCACGGCAGCCTCAGGAGTTGGCTGGTCCCGGGGGGCCACCTCCCTCCAGCCCTCATCACTCACGTTGTAGAGGAGGTCAGTCCACCCTTCCATGGTGATGCACTGGAAAACAGTCAGCACTGCAAACAGGATGTTGTCGAACTGAGTGATCCCGTTGTTGGGCCCTTCCCAGTAGGGCTGGCATCTGGTCCCATTGGGGCAGGTGCGGGCGGGTTCCTCTGTCCCACATGGAGCTGGGGACTCACTCTGAATGTCATCTGTGAAAGGGAAGGGCAGAAAAGTCAGGAGAAGGAGCCTGGGAAAAAGCTCTGAGAAGCAGGGGCCCAGGAAGATGCAATGCTGTTGGGGGAAAAAAAAAGGGTTATTGGGATGAATTTATCAATTATGTTAAAAACAAACCCAGCACTTGCCTTCGTTGATCTATTCATTGTTTTCTATTTCATTAATTTCTTCTCTAAGCTTTATTACTTTCCCTACATTTTTTGGATGAATTAACTTCCTTTAAAGCTATAAACTGCTCTGTAAGTGTGGCTTTAGCTGCACCTCGTAAATTCTGTCATGTGTCATCATGGTTCAGGTGAAATATTTGGCAATTTCCACTATTATTTCTTCTTTGACCCAGGGATAACCAAGAAGTATTTCTCTTAAAAAAAAAACTTGTCAGTGATATGTAAGATAGAGTAGTATAACGAACTCCCATGGACCTATCACCAATTTCAACATTTATCAACTCAGGGCCACTCTTGTTTCATCTACATCCCCTTCCCACACTTTGCCTTGCCACTAGAATATTTTTAAAGAAAATCTCAGACATCCTGTTATTTCACCCACAAATAACCATGTCTCCCAATTTCCAGACACATTTAGAATGGTCTTTTTTGTTACCGATTTCCAGCTTAATTGCATTGTGGCTAGTGGATATGTTCTGTATTATTCAGTCTTTTGAAATCTGTCAAGATGTGCTCGATGGTCCTGAATACAGTCAACGTTGGTAAATATGCTGTGTGCATTGTGAGGTAGTTGGGTGCAGTGTTCTCCAGACTCCATTAGGGCAAAGTTGTCCATCACACTGTGTTATCCTTCTGTAGCCTGATTTTTTTTTTCTTGAGATGTGCTGGGCTCAGGGAGCTGTTCTGGGGGCGATGAAGGCCAGTACACACAGTACTCACTCTCAGGCACAGGAGCTAAGCTCTCTCCCCACAAAGCAGGAGGCAGATTGTGAAAATGCCACCAGTAGAGAGACACGTGCGAAAGGAAGAGCCTTTTGCTAGAAACCAAAGACAGCTCTCGGCTAAGTTGGGTTGGGGCTGATAGTCGGGTCTAAATTCCGAGGGGTTGATCGGGAGGGAGAGATGCCTGTGTGAACACCTGGAGCCAGTGGAGCACACATCCCGGGGGTGTCCCCAGCGGACCAGAGCAGCAGACGGGAGAGGACCCTATTCAGGGAGTGATGTTTCTGAAGGTTTTCAGGGAGTGACATTCTCCACCAAGAAAACAGACAGCTGAGTGTGTAAACTCAAGCTTCCCACTAAATGAAAACTCATCTCAGTGCATGTGCTCCAGGCTGCGCACCAGGCCCCAGCCTCCACGCAGCACAGGGACATCAACCAGCAGGGAACGCAGGCATCTCATCGGCCTTTGAAGCTGAGTTAAACAGAAACTCGAAGTCCTGCAAACTAATGCCCACAGCTCTCAGAAGTGTCACTAGTTTAAGGGGCTGGGAATGCCTTCCTATTCACCCTGGACCTGGTGGAGGGGCCATGGTTTATACATAAGGCTCAGGGCAGGGCGAAAAAAAAAATCATGGGCTCCTATACTAAATGAGAGCCACTGTTTGTTGGGAAGGTTGCCTCTGCTGGGAACCTTCTGCCTTCACCCTGTGCACGAGTCTGGCTCTGTTCCTACCCGTGTTACCCCACTGACCACTGGTCCCTCCTTGTCCTCAGGGCTGCAGTAGCTCTCGCATGTTCATAGCACGGGGATAACATCTTGCTTTCGTTTTCATTACTATGAATTGGTTGCAAAGGAGGGCTCTTGTCTCCTTAAACTACAGTGGGGCCTTGACTTACGAGTTTAATTCGTTCCGTGACGGAGCTCGTAACTCAAATTACTCGTATGTCAAATCAAAAGTGAACAAGTGAGACACGTGATGCTGGGCTGATGTTGTGGCGTTCACTGTGACGTTCGCTGCGCCAACTAGCGGTGGGGTATCTGAAGCTGGCTCATAACCCGAATTTTAGCTCGCAACTCAAAGCAAAAAATCGGCCGAGAGACCACTCGTATCTCGAAAAACTCGTTAGTCAGGACACTCGTAAGTCAAGGGCCCACTGTATTTTGGAAGCTGTTGGAAAGCGGGTAGAATTCCACTTTATCTTTGTGTTTCTTTTCTTTTCTTTTTTTTAAAATTACGACTTGTTTCTTTTTAAAAAAAATATATATATTTTATTGATTTTTTTACAGAAAGGAAGGGAGAGGGAATAGAGAGTTAGAAATATCGATGAAAGAGAAACATCGATCAGCTGCCTCCTGCACACTCCCTACTGGGGATGTGCCCGCAACCAAGGTACATGCCCTAGACCGGAATCGAACCTGGGACCCTTGAGTCCACAGGCCGACGCTCTATCCGCTGAGCCAAACCGGTTAGGGCTCTCTTTGTGTTTCTGTGAGCATTTAGCACGGTGCTGGGCGCATGGGAACCGGGCTCCTGATGACAAAGAAATGCAACGGAAAACGTGTCTGTCTTTAGTGGCTCTGCCCAGTGGTGTTCTTGATCCCGATCCCCCTCAACTCCCTGCCTCCTTTCGTGAAACACGCGGAGCGCTGCTTCTGGAAAAGCAACCGTCCAGAGTCTGAGGAGTTTGGTTATAAATATATTTTAAAATTAACCTGCTGCCTGGGTGTCTGTATATATCTGTCTCTTACTCACACGCCTTATAATTTTCATCGTGAGCTCCTCAGTCATCTTCCTAAACGGAGGCTTCCCACCTCTGGGGGCCCCTCCCACGCCTGTCCCCTCACAACCCCACTCAGACCCAAGCCCAAGTCATGTATCTTCTTGGCTGGAAAGGAAAAAAAAAGCCAACAAAGTGACCAAATCTAGGACCCAGATGTCCTGGTTTCTCTGCTCCTGGCTGCTTTTTCCGGGGGCCCTGCCCTGCATCTCTCCTCGAATTCCCGCCTGGTGACGAGGCCAGGCGCAGAAATAGCTCTGCCTCAATTAACACCTTCTTCATCGGGGAAAGAAATAATTAGGACATCCCATATTGAGCGAACTGCACAAGCTCAGGAGAGAAGGAGACAGGAGGAGCAAGAAGAAAAAAAAGAAAAGGAAAAAAAAAGCATCTCAAATAAACCTTTCCTCCTGGGGTTTCCTTTCCCCTGGGGAGGGGGCTGAGCCGCGTGGGGGTCACGGCAGAGCAGGTGGGTGGGAAGGTTCTCCAGGGCAGAACCTTCTCCCAGCAAGACCTGCCTACAACCTCTCTCCTTCCTACGCGGGTCTCTTTCAGCTCCACCGTCGCTCTGTCCATTCCTTCAATTCACGGAGCCCCGGACCCAGGACTAGCGCTGCCATCCAGCCCGTTTGCGCTGAGACAGCCAGTGGTCCAAATCCTGACACACAGGCTTCCCTCCGTATCTGGTTCCAGTTGGTTCTTGGTAGCAGGGGATTTAACGGAAAATGTATCTGGAAGCTATTGGGTCTCCGAGTGTGTGGATAGTGGGGACACTGCCCTGCCACACTGCTGACTCAGAGCTGAGTCCCGGGGCGGGGGTGGGGGTGCCTCCTGGCTTTCCTCCTGCCGGCCCCACACCCATTCTTCTTGCCCCAGCCACTGAGGGGCTGACACGGACGCAGCGTGGACGGAGAGGGCCCAGGACCTTGTTCTGGCTGGTCAGTGCCAGGACTCCCAGCTGGAGTGTTTGAGGCACATGCAGAAGTCATCCCTGTTCTCCTTTCCTTCAGGTCACCACCCAGAAAGCAACCAGACCCCTGGTCCAGGGGCCCTTCCTCTTCCTGCTTTGGACTCAGCGTGGGCTGTGGGCACTGCCAGGGAATTTGGCAGAGGCGGCCGGCACCCTGTCCGTATCCTGTTGCCACCTGCCCTGCCTGCTCCCACCCGAAAACACCTTCATGCCCACCCAGGAGCCGTCCTCACCAGTGATGGGCAGAAGTCAGTGAACAAGTACCCAGCTCCCTCGCTCCTCAGGGGCACGGCGCTGAGCTGTGTGTCCTCTGCTGTCTCCCCGAGGTGCCCAATGGGACCGAGCCCCGGCTGCCCACAGTGGTAATCTGCTTGGTGACACCCCTTTACGAGATGTCTTCCCTTCCCTGTCTGACTTCCACACGCCCCCGATGGCACTTCGTGGGACCACTTCCCAAATAAACCACTGGACAGCTTCTGGGGAACCCCAAAGCAAGGCCCTGGCAACAACAAGATCTGCGGTGCTGCTACGCCCCGTCTTGCCTGCAGTGCATCTGGAAGCTTCCCGGAGAAGCGAACCCTGCAGAGCCCTCCCAGGAGCTTGTCCCCAGGGGAGGGAAATACACGGGAACAAGGTTGGGAAAAAACACATGATGAGCTTCAGACCTACCTGTCCCCTCTTCAAAGCAGGTGGTATGAAATTTTCCCATATAAAATTCTAACCCTATGATTGCAAAAATAAGGATTGCAAAAAATAGGAGAAGGCCGATCTGCAGCAAGGGGATCATCGCCTTCATGATCGACTTCAGGACGACTTGTAAACCTGGGGAGACAAGGAGAGATGCCCCATGGCCGTGAGCAGTTACCCAGGAGGCCCTCCCCCTCCATGCTTCCGAGGGAACCCAGAGCCCACGGGAGGCTGGGGATGGCTGATGGTGAGGAAAGGACACACAGAGGCTCCTCATTATTATAACAGGCGCAATCCCCCTTGATTTTTAAAAGCACTTATGTTAAAACATTTAAAAAAGTACTTGCTATATGCTGTGTCATTTGATGAACCTGTGGGCTAAAAGGAGTGGAAATCCATTGCTTTCTGAGCCGTGGTCCCAGGTGCTGGGTGGCTCCCACCCAGAGCCGGGCGGCTTTTACTAATTTTTTTCCCCACCAACAAGGGCCTCTTTTCCTCATTTGTGCCAAGGCACCATGTAGACAAGTAGCAACTCTGCACGGGCAAGCAGTTGGCCTCCCAGTTCCAATCCAGAGAAACCAGACATAACTTCCCTGGCTTCCAGCACAAGCCCGCCACGCGGTGGGCGCACGTGTAAAATGATCCCCGTTTGCAGAGGTGGAGAGAGTGGTCGTGATTCACCCAAGGGCGTGAGAAACAACAGAGCCGGGACTCAAACCCAGGTCTGAGTGGTGTCAGAGCCCATGTTTGTGACCACTGGGCTACCTATTAGGAAAGTCTGTGGTTAAAATTAGGGTTCCAGCATATAACCTGGGACTTGCTTCTTGATGAGAGAACTTTGCACGGCCCAGATCAGCACCTCCTGACAGGTGGAGACCCTAGCACGAGAGGGACACTGTCGAGATAGCCCAAGGGGACTATGCTACCCCAAGGGGTCCAAAATGGAAGGCGATGCTAATGGAGGGAGCGTGGCACTGTGGGCCAAGCCAGAACCCCTCTGCTGTGGGGGCATCCACCCTCCAGCTGCTGCGAGCATTGGCTGCTAAGGGCTTCCAGCTCCCCTCCTCTTCACAGGGTTGCCCTTGGTTATAAAGAGATGCCTTACCTGGGAGACTGTTGCTGCCCCCACCTCCCACCCCCAACAATTGGCCAGAGAGTACAAAAGGCCAGCCTCCTTTTGTGTTTGAGGCACCAGTGGAGGACAACCCTGGTGCTATTCACACTCCATTCCCTCATCCCCTCCCTCCTGACAGCCCGCCCCCCCATAAAGGAGGGGCAAGTGAACACCTAAGTCTGCTCTGAGGGGGCCAGACAGCCCTACTCATCTACTTGCTAGCAATGTGACCTTGAACAAGTCAAGTAGCCCTTCTGAACCTCGGTTTCTCCACCTGTAAATGGGCATGACAACAGTGCCTCCCTCCCACAATTAAATGAGGGAGTTCATACCTAGCAAAGCCCCTGACATGTCAGACTCCTGTTAGTGTTAGCTTGGGGATGGCTCTTAATTTAAAATGATGCAGACACCTGCTGGGACCCTGCAGACACCTGGCTAGAAGTGCCTTCGTTCTACAAGGAGACCCTGCTGGTGGTCTTCTGGGAAATCCTACTCTTTAAATCTGGATGGCAATGAACCTGAAGAACGACACCAATGACAATGGTGACAGCAATAGAACCCACATCACAGGCTTGTTATGAGGATACATGAGTTTAAAAATGGCAAATACTTAGAACAGTGCCTGGCACATAGTAACTGAGGCCGTAGGACAGAAAAAGGCCAGCTCAGTGTTTGTTTGGTTTTTGCAGCTGAACATAACCCTGACCCTGAATATTGCAGCCACCGCCAGAGGCTGGAGGAGAAGCACTCGTAGAGAATGAGAAAGCAGGGCGGAACGAGAATGGACTTCGGGGCTGGCCACCAAAAAGCTGCAGGAACTCAGGTGAGTAGTTTAACCTTTCTGCGTCTCAGCCTTTGCATCTGTAAAATGGGTTTATGGGGTGATTACAATCATGAACTAAAATAATGCATTTAAAGCTCTTTGTGCAGTGCCTGGTACACCATACAGGCATTCCAGAAACGGGAACGGTCACTGCCACCAGGGTTACTGCCCAGGCGTGGGGCCACACTTGCCAACGCCTGGTTCTGCCACTTAGCAGCCATGGCACCCTGATCGAAGTATTCAGCCGCCCTGGGTCTGCTCCCCCATCTGTAAAATGGAGATTTCAGGACTAGCAGCTTCGCAGGGCTGCGAGTACTGAATGAGATGATGTGTGGCACTTAGCATGGCTCCTGGGAGACAGCAGGCGCTCCACAAATGGGGGCTGTGGTTATGGATGAGGCTCCTGGCCTGCTTTCAGGAGCTCACCCAGACCCGAAGCCAGGTTCCTGAGGGTTCCCTGGGGAGCTTCCCCAAAGCGGAGGCTGCCCCAACACAGGGTAGGGCAGCACCCGGGGGCCCCTCCTGAGATGCAGGGGGGGAAACCGACGACTCCAGGGCCCCAAGCAGACCCCTTGCCAGGATCGGAAACTCACGCACTTGGGATTCCAGACACCAGCTTGAGCGGTCGCAGCACTCGAACTGCCCTCAGTGTCCGTAGGTCAAACTCTGTCCCAACTGTCGCCAAGATGCTGGAAGAAAGAGACCAGAGTGGAGAACAGAGGGTGGGTTTCAGGGTCAGACAGGTGGGCGGGGTGCTTGGGGTGTGATGTTGTCAGTTATTGGCTGGGTGACCACAGGCAGGTGACGTTACCATTGCTGGGCCTCAGTTCTGTCACCTGTAAAAACAGTGTTAATGTTGCCGGTTTCACGGGATAACATGTGATTTTTGACCCCAAACAGGTGGGTGGTTGATGAAAATAAATGCTGGAGTAGGAGGAATGGAATGTGATGATCAATACATTTCACAACCACCATCAGAATGGAGAATGGAATGTGGTGGGGTGATGATCAATACATTTCACAACCACCATCAGAATGGATTGGGGGGATCCTGGGGGCACTGGGGGAGAGACGGGAGAATGGCAGAGCCTTTAAGGGCTTGGTGCTCTTTACCAACTGGCAGGAAAGTAGTTCAGTATTAATAGCCCGGACTAGCCCTAACCGGTTTGCTCAGTGGATAGAGCATCGGCCTGCGGACTCAAGGATCCCAGGTTCGATTCCGGTCAAGGGCATGTACCTTGGTTGAGGGCACATCCCCAGTAGGGAGTGTGCAGGAGGCAGCTGATCGATATTTCTCTCTCATCGATGTTTCTAACTCTCTATCCCTCTCCCTTCCTCTCTGTAAAAATCAATAAAATATATTAAAAAAAAATAGCCCGGACTACATGGGTTCAAATCCTAGTTCTGCCACTTCCCAGCTGGGTGACGTTGGGCAAGTCACTTCCCTGCTCCCTGCCTCAGTTTCCCCCTTCGTATAATGCGATGACAGTACCTGAGAGTACAGTACTCAACACTACACTTCAAACAACAGTACACCGCAAGGGTTGTGAGGATTAAATGAATTGATAGTTGCAAAGTGGTTGGCACAGTGCCCGGCACACAGGAAGCTACTCGTAAATAAATGGAAGAATGAACAAACCAAGAAGAGGTGTGGCCCTGATGGTGTGGACCAGCTGGCACTGGCTCTAGAAAGCAGCCACAGACCCCAAGTCTCAGGTCAACATGAGTCACTCTTGCAAATACAGGTAAGAGAAGCCTTCTGTAGACCCCTACCCCACCTGGAAAGACCCCCACCTACTAAGACCTCATTTGTAAAAGCGTTACTGCTGAGAAAAGGGGTCCCACAGCAGCTCCTCCTAAGGCTCCACGGGGAACCTCCCTGACCTGTTTCCTGAACGAGTCCATTTCCAAGGTAAGTGATGTAGAATGAGCTACCACGGAGCCACTCAGCAGAAAAGGCTGTCACCATCACTTCAGATGATGGACAAGAGATGCTGGAAACCAGTGGAGGGTGGCTAAGCAAATGATTTGAAGGTGTCATCAGTCTTTGCCAGGGGTCTGGACCTTACCACTTGGGTCTGTAACAACCAGTACCTGCGTCTCTTTGACTGAGAGCTTTCTCCAAAACTGAGACTGGCCCTATGGGAGCAGCCCGCAACCAGAGACTGCTGGGAGTAGGTGGATCAATTCCCAGGCTTCCTCACCTCTTATTCCAAACGGCTCTAAGATGTGTTCCCAAGAGGGATTGATCCCAGCTGCCCACCAGAATGACCTGCCCATCAACACTTCCTGGGGTCACCTCCCAGATGAACTACTTGCACCTAAATCCTTGTTTCAGGATCTATTCTGAGGCACCCCAAACTAAGACAGGGGTTGTTTCCAACTCTTTTTCAAGACTACTCCTAGAGCAGAGATGGCATTTTAGATTGGACGGACCTATTTTTCCACCATCAACAAATGTGCATCTGAGTATGTCCTATGTGCCAGGCAGGGCAACACACAAGACTCTCCCTGCCCCATGGAGCTGATACAGAAGAAAAATGTTTAACAAAAAAGTGGACACAATGAATGAACCCACCGCTGGTATGATGCATTCTTAGAGAGAGCCAGAAGACAACGGCTCTGACAGCACACAGCAGGTCATGTTAACTAGTCTGGGACCCAGGGAGGATCCGTCTCAAGCTGAAGCCTCATGGATGATGAGGAGGAATCTGGTCAGTGGGGGAAGAACTTTCTAGACTAAGGGAATGGCTGAGACAGAGCGCATGGGTGGGAAGAAGCTCGGTAAATTCAAGGAACGAGATGGTGCCACGAAGCTGGAGCACAGGAGGGAGCCATGCCATACAACCCCAAATAACTTCCAATTCAATTTACTCTATTTTTCTCTTCCTCTACCAACGTTCTCATATTCCTTTGAGTTCCTCAAACACTATCCTATTTCTACATCTCACTGTCTCCCCCTCTTGGCAGATAGCTGGTTAGAGTGTGCGGAGCAAATGACAGGTATCATTTGAGTCTTCATTGAATTCACAAACATTAGCTGAGTACCTACAACATAGGAGACAGAGATTCTGGGGGCACCAAGAATAAACCCAACAATATGCTGGGTGTCAGGGTGATGAGCACGAGGGAGAAAAGCAATGCAGGGAGGGGGGAGGGAAACATCAGCGACACGGGGCAGGATGAGGGGGGTAATGACATGAACATCAGTTGGGGAAAGCAATGGTTCTTTACCATCTGGCAAGGAAGTAACTCAGTGATAAGAATGCCCAGGAGAACTTCACTAAGAGCTGCGTGTGAAATTTGTAATTTTCTAGCAGCCACATTATGAGAGTAAAAAAATAAAAAGCATGTGAAATTAATTTTAATAACATGGTTTCTTTAACCCCGTCTATCCAAAGCATTATCATTTCAACAGGCAATCAACATGAAATATTTATTAATAATACGTTTTATACATTATTTTCTTTGGAGGAAGCCTTTGAAATCTGGTGCATATTCTTCACTTAGGGCACATCTTAGTTGCGGTACTTAATGGCTGCATATGGCCAGTGGTGAAAGTCCTGGACAGTGCCGGCCCAGGGAAAGAGACACTGAAGTAAAGATGTGAAGAAAGATAGGGGGTGAGGCTTATGAATAAGTCAGGGGGAAACTCGAGGCAGAGGGATGGCCAGTGCAAAGGTCCTGAGGCATAACTATACCTGGTGCATTTGAGGAACAGTGCAGAGGCCAGTGTGGCTGGAGCCAAGGGAGCCAGAGTGACAGTAGGAGGATGCGAGGGCAGGAGGGGATGAGACCTTGCAGGCCACGGGAGGATTCTGGCTTTTGCTCGGAGTGAGGTGGGAGCTATGGAGGGTTCTGAGCAAAGGAGAGACATAATCTGACAGAGAATAAGACCCCCCTGGGATAAGTCCAAAAGCTGAAAGACTTGGGGAGGAAGCAGCTGCATTGTTCCAGGGGAGCGCTCATGGGTCTAGATCAGGTTGTGCTGGACGTAATGGAACACTGAGGTGAACTCAACCCTGCCCTAGAGACGATCACACAAGTAAGTGAATGAGAGACCAAGTCCTCTGGTCCCAGAGCTGTAGGAGGCAGGAATAAGGAGGAAGTGAATACAGACAGGAGGGCTGGGATCATCATCATCATCATCATCATCATCATCATCATCATCGCGGAGCCCGAGTCTGAGGAGGCAGCACAGCACCAAGCTCGAAAAATCTCAGACCTGGGGCTAAACCCCAGCCCCATGTTTTCTCCTTGTGTGGCCTTTGCTGGGACGTGTCTGAGCCTCAGAAAGGCAGAACTTCCCTCCTGCCCGGGGCCATCCTAGCCAGCACCCAAGATGGCCTGCCTCCTGGTCTCCTCCCTGGAAAGGTGAGAAGGAAGGAGAAGGAGAAGGGGAGGCGAAGGAAGGCCTCTCTGGCCGAGAGCACCCGCAGAGGCAGAGGCCTTGCTCAGGGTGTGAGGTGCCTAAGCCATCGGCGGGCTGCACGGTGGAGGCTGTGAACCGGAGGCTGAGGAGGCGGGTCTTGTCGTGCGGACAGTGGGAGTCATGTAAGGTTTCGGAGCAGGGGAGGGATGTGATTGGGGTTGGCGTCAGGAAGACAAGCCTGACAGCTGAAAGGACAGATTGGTGGTGATGGGGGCAGGAGCTAGGAGGGAGCCGCAGAGCAGGCCGGCGTAATGAGGGCTGGAAGTAGGACAAAGGCAGTGGGAGTACAAAGGAGGCCCCGATTTATATTTAGCTGCCATTGATTGCTGTGCACCAGGGAGCTTGCCTGGGCTCATCCATTCCTTCCTGCAGCCCAGCATTTAGCGGGATGAGCCCCATTTTACAGAGCAGGACACTAAAGCCCAGAGACGTTACTGATGCATGGAGATCCACATCACCGAGTAAGACCTTGGACCCGGGACACCAGCACTCCAGAACCCCATTTCTCCCCGTCACAGGGCTCCCTGGATGGGGCTAGGGCCGTGGTAGACAAACTGCGGCTCGCGAGCCACATGCAGCTCTTTGGCCTCTTGAGTGTGGCTCTTCCTAAGCCTTAGGAGTACCCTAATTAAGTTAATAACAATGTACCTACCTATATAGTTTAAGTTTAAAAAAGTTGGCTCTCAAAAGAAATTTCAATCATTGTGCTGTTGATATTTGGCTCTGTTGACTAATGAGTTTGCCGACCACTGGGCTAGGGCAACGGTGGGGATGAAAGGGAAGGGAAGAACGGCTTCCTGGTCTGAATGAACCACCGAGAGATGGGCATTTGTTTATCCAACAAGGTTTATTAGCACCTACTATGGGCTGCGTGCTCAGGTAGGGCCTCAGGATGCCGCCATGAACAGAGTGACAATGGTAAAACACATAGTAGGTCAAATGGTGGAAAGCACTACGGAGAACAGTATAGCAGCCACCCGGGCTTCCAATGGGAGGATGGAGCGTGGGCTGGGAGAGAGAGGAGTCAGGGCAACTGTAGGGTTCTGACCTGGGCTATCTGAAGGAAGGAGTTGCTGTGATTGAGATGGGGAAGACGGAGGAAGGGGTAGGTTCGAAGGAAGATCAAAAGCTGGTTGTGGACCCGTTGAGATGCCAGTTTTCTGTAACACTCATGTCAAAACTTTCCACTGGATCCCATTAAGCTTAGAATAAAATCTAAAACTCTGCCATGACCACAAGACCTTCCGTGCCTTGACC